TGCAAAATGAAGAATACTAAAACCAATACTAAACATCAGAAACGTTTCCGAAGACACTAACAATGAACATTAAGCTAGACAGTGACAATGCATCCGAGCTGATTGCTATCAATTTGCTAATTACAGTGATTAATCGAAACACTGTCGAAATACTGTTATGGGACACTGCGTCAGACGATTTTCGTCCACTGCGTAACGCAGTGTTTCCCAACCCGAGACCGCGGTCTCAATTGAGTCCGCGGAGCGTTTGAATGAGTCCGCAACGAGCCAGAAATTCATGCGAGCCGCAAACGATTTTGCGGAACTTAACTATCAGCCAATTTACGATTTACGTTGGAATTTACATAAAACATAAAAAGCAAGTTTATTCACATAACATTAATCGAGTCAATAATTACTCGTTACTGAGTAGGGCTTGGCATATATTCGAATATTCAACTATTAGAATAGCAATTTAATATTCGAAAATTTGGTATCAGGTTACGCGACAGGTCACTTGCACTTGTGCGCGTCCCCTAATCAAACGATTAGATTTCACAACTCACTCACGAATTTTCGACGAAAACACACAAGTCGGCACACGCGTCGATAGATGGTGGCAAACCGAATTTTCCAAATTGAAAAGCGGCAATACAAAACGGACAACACCATAAGTTTCGTTTTATGATGGTCCGCGACCGATTAAAAACGCTTTTTTAGACATTGCAAAACGCAAAATTTCGGGTGTTACCGTAGTATACGTATACCAGGGAATCTTCCCTTAGAATTGTTTGTTTTACTACCTCAACATTGACACGCCGTACAGTACTAGTAAGTGTTGTGCGAACAGCTCAGATTTGTTAAATTCACAATAATAGGAATCAAAATAAAATATAATCCGGCCCTTTACCACGCATTTTTGTGTCCACGGATTGTCATGATATTTTCTGAGTAGTATTGCTTTTATTTCGCCAACACAATCACAGATTAAAATGATCACAATTAAATTAATAATAAAGCAAGGCGATGAATATTCATTTTTCATTTACTAATATATTTTAAATATATTTTTCTTAGTACTGAATCAAGTTCTACTTTCTGGAAATTTATAACAGATAGTGAGATTTTTCTAACAACGATAACAAATTTGCAAGATCGCAAAAATATGTAACAAAACTAAATATAATCGGGCAATATAGTCTCACATTATTATGTTCACAGATTGCCGATTGGCATTTTAAAGAAGAAATGCTTTCACCTTGTCGTAAGTCGACGCAACCGCGAGTTACCATGAACACAATTAAATTAATATAGAAAGACATTGGATTGAATATTGTGCGACAGAAAGCCAATTATACACTAAAAATGTCGGCTCTTTTTACCGAACGCGTAATTGCGGCGAATTTTCGATTTTGAAATTCGTTACAATTATGTTGTATTTGATTTTATTGCTTCTTCGCACAGGTTGCAATAAATGCACATTGGGTCCGCAAAGGTTTTCGCGGGTGAGAAAATAGTCCGCGACCAAAAAAGGTTGGGAAACGCTGGCGTAACGTCATGCGTCATTATGTCCAGAACTGAACTGAGTCCTTATAGGAGAGCTCTCGTTCAACATAACTGTGTCTAAATAACAAGTTCAAACTATTACACATAACGAACTAGTGCAATGAAAGTCATTGGTTAGCACATAATTATTCGATTCTTCTATACCGAGACCCTGACAATAATGGGAAAATGCGAGATTTGCGACAAACACCCCGCCAAGTTTTAAAAGAACAAATTTAGCAAATCATTCGTAAAGTGAGAGTTATAAATGATTTAAAAATTTTAATTTCCGGAGTAATCAGCATTCCTAATACCAAGCCAAACCCTAACTGGATAATTACTTTTTTTAGTCAGAGCGGTGGCGGGTTCGTTTTTTGGCGCAGGATTTCTAAAAAAGATCCAAACGTTTCACATAAAAGTTACTCCACGTTGGGTTTCTTTGTTTTTGAATCAGGGACTAAGTTTGCCCTGAATAATACTTTGCTCTGTGGAGGTTAAATGAAAACCAGACAGACTTTACTAGAGACTTCGAGAACATTTGGAACAATCTCTTGTGGAGTACGATTTTAAACTCTGCTCATATTGCGTGTCATCTGCTATGTCTTATTTGCATGTCCGGGTTCGGAGAAATGTTTTACAACAAGCGCATCTACGACTAAACGTGACCGCCACCGACGACTGTTAGCAGCAATGAGGCAATTCCTGAACCTGCAAAACGCAGTTGAAACTGCGGTGCGGTGTGCTCAAGTCTTCAGCGATTGCAAAAATTCACTTTCAGCTTTCAGTACTTTTATCTGTTCAGTTGACCTACCGACTCACATAAAAGTTTATATCAAGAAACATAGTAAAACACTAATACGCTTTAATAATATATATTTATACTCGTTTCTTGATATTGAAGAAAAATGTTCGAATCTTTGTTTCATCAACTTTTTAACACGAACGGGGTGCTGCGAACGCGATTTTGTGCATTTATATAATTTTAACTAATGCCAAATGATCCCAAGTATGGAAAAAATGAATCATTTCAAATGCAAAGAGTTTAGAAACGGTCTATTTCTGTCAATAACCTAACAGTAACTTAATAAATACTGGATATGTGATTTTCGGATTTTTTTCAGTATTTGTTGGCGCGATGGCCCGTTTTTCAGCTATTAATTTTAATTCATATTCCAAATAAAGCTTAGTAAATGGAAGGTTGGTACATATTCTCATTGGTAAAAAAAAGGTTGAAATGAAAAAAAGTTATCAACGATAGTCATTTAGCTTTTTTGCTGTATTTTTTTCATACGGTATTTCTAATATTTCAACCTGCTTGCCAGAATTTTTTAGATATTATCGCATATACGACATACGCCTCAACTCTAAAGTTTTATTTTCTTTTAACTCTTGTCTCAAGTCCATCTACCTAAAACTTATTCTTCTTAACTTTAGTGTTAATTCTGGATGGTGACAATAAGTAAACAGAAATGGTCACAACCATAAGTTCGCGTTATGCATTGGGAAGTCTAACAATTTTAGCCGTCATATTCGGTTTACTGTGAGTTCTTACCCGTTTACAGTCAGTGAAATACCAGACAAAATATCCTATGCTTCGAGATTTTCTTCCGCGAGATTCAGCTATTTGGAATTCAATACCTCATAGTTATTTCTTAATCAAATTAACACGAACTGCTTCAAGCCTCGCGTCAGTTAACATTTACTAACTCGCATTACCATTATTCTCTATACATAGTGTCAGTATCTCTTGGTATATTAGTAGTCGTCGGTATCTTCACTTTGACTTTCGTGATTCTCAGTGTTATGGTCGTTTTATATTATCAGCATTAATTATAGGCTATCACTTACTAAACGCGATTGCTGTTATTGACATTCTTTGTGCCGATTTCCTTTCAACTCAATGGTTCAGTGACTGAATTTATTTAGGAAAATGTCAAGTCATGCTCAGCTGTAAAAAATGTTAGAAGCGTAGGTGCTATACGTTGACACATTTTTGGTATCTAAATTTTCATCATTACTGTATCATTCCTTGTTGACAAGGCCGGTCCAATATGACGTCATAATTACGATAAACACTGTTTTAATGACTTATAATTTGATTGCAGATAAAAACCGATACAGGCGATTCGCTGCTCGTCTATCTATGTATGCTGACCAACGTAGAATGTAGATTTGTATAACGGTGTTTCAATTCACTGATGGAAGAGAAGATTCCAACAACAAAGATTTGGAGAAGAATAATGACATACATAAGTTTTTGAGACGTACGATATTTTCGACAATAACCCTGTTTAAAGATTCTTCTTACTCACATTAAAAAGTATTCATATATTAACGTTATGTTTTGTACAAAATCAAATTATTGACTAAAAATACTCATGTTCGTAGCTTTCAGATACTGGTATTTTTCAAAATGTCCAATTCCAAATTTTCCTGTTACAGCCAAATCGATTTATTGCCAACTATGTTCAGCTTTCAAGCAACTCGACTCACAGCGTTATTGTGCCCATCACACTTTCTTTGCCTCAAAGTTTTGCCGCAATTGAATCCAATTTAAAATCGGTTTTATTCTTTCATAACACTTCATACGATGGTACTTGAAACAAAATCAGGAACGTCGACATCTCGAACGAAACCTACAGAAAATAATGAACAAACTGAATATAACATGCGGATATCAAAACAAATCTTACAGTGGTGTACAGTGGCAATTAAAATTTACAAATATCAGCACATAACTAAATGTATAAAATTATTTATAGATTACTTTATTTGAGACTGATTAGATACATCCCCCATGTTTTAGATCCGCAGGTGACGATATCCAATAAAGTTTTATCCAAAATGAACTCAATGTATCTTGCATTACTAAAATCTAAAAGCAGCTGTTATTTACCTGATATACCTATAATACAGCCCCAACCTGCAGTCAAAAACTATATTTTAATTACAATCGGGCACCTCGCATTTAACCCCGAATCTAACTTCAATCCAAATTGGTATTTCCAACTGCAAAATTAAGAATACTAAAACCAATACTAAACATCAGAAACGTCTCCGAAGACACTAACAATGAACATTAAGCTAGACAGTGACAATGAATCCGAGCTGATTGCTATCACTTTGCTAATTACAATGATTAATCGAAACACTGTCGAAATACTGTTATGGGACACTGCGTCAGACGATTTTCGTCCACTGCGTAATGTCATGCGTCATTATACCCAGAACTGAACTGATTCCTTATAGGAGAGCTGTCATTCAACATAACCGTGTCTAAATAACAAGTTCAAACTATTACACTTAACGAACTTGTGCAATGAAAGTCATTGGTTAGCGCATAATTATTCGAATCTTATATACCGAGACCCTGACAATAATGGTAAAATGCGAGATTTGAGACAAACACCCCGCCAAGTTTTAACATAACAAATTAGCAAATCATTCGTAAAGTTAGGGTTATCAAAGATTTAAATATTTTAATTTCCGGAGTAATCAGCATTCCTAACCCCAAGCCAAACCCTAACTGGATAATTACTTTTTTAGTCAGAGCGGTGGCGGGTTTGTTTTTTGACGCAGGATTTGTAAAAAAGATCTAAACGTTTCACATAAAAGTTACTCCACGTTGGGTTTCTTTGTTTTTGAATCAGGGACTAAGTTTGCCCTGAGTAATACTTTGCTCTGTGGAGGTTAAATAAAAACCAGACAGACTTTACTAGAGACTTCGAGAACATTTGGAACAATCTCTTGTGGAGTACGATTTTGAACTCTGCTCATATTGCGTGTCATCTGCTATGTCTCATATGCATGTCCGGGTTCGGAGAAATGTTTTATGACAAGCGCATCTGCGACTAAACGTGACCGAAACCGACGACTGTGAGCAGCAATGAGGCAATTCCTAAACCTGCAAAAAGCAGCTGAAACTCGTGTCGTGCGGTGTGCTCAAGTCTTCAGCGATTGCAAAAATTCACTTTCAGCTTTCATTACTTTTATCTGTTCAGTTGACCTACCGACGCACATAAAAGTTTATATCAAGAAACATAATAAAACACTAATACTTTATAATACTATATTTATACTCGTTTCTTGATATTGAAAAAAAATGTTCGATTCTTATTCCATTGCAAATTTTGTTTCATCTAATTTTTAACACGATCGGGGTGCTGCGAACGCGATTTTGTACATTTATATATTTTTAATAAATGCCAAATGATCTCAAGTATTAAAAAAATGAATCATTTCAAATGCAAAGAATTTATAAAAGGTCTATTTCTGCAATAACCTAACAGTAACTTATCAAATACTGGCTATGTGATTTTCAGATATATTTCAGCGTTGGCCCGTTTTCAGCTATTAATTTGAAGTCATATCTCCGACAAAGTTTAGTAAATGAAAAGTCGGTACATATTCTCATTGGTAAAAATAGGTTAAAATATAAAAAAAATTATCCACGATAGTCATTTAGCATTTTCGCTGTATTTTCTTCATATATATGTTATTTCTAATGCTTCAACCTGCTTTCCAAAATTTTTTAGATATTATCGGATATACGACATACACCTTAACTCTAAAGTGCCTTTTTTTTCTCCTACAACTCTTGTCTCAATTCGATCTACCTGAAAACTTATTCTTCTAATCTTCAGTGTGAATTCTGGATGGTGACAATAGGTAAACAGAAATGGTCACAACCATAGATTCACGTTATGCATTGGGAAGTCTAACAATTTTAGCCGTCAAGTTCGGCTTACTGTGAATTCTCACCCGTTTACAGTCAGTGAAATACCAGACAAAATATTTTTTGCTCCGAGATTTTCTTCTAGGACATTCAGCTATTTGGAATTTAAAATCTCATAGTTATTACTTTTCGATTTTAATCGGTAAGTATGTTGATAGGTATTTGTCTGTCTGTATGTTTGTCTGTTAGATGTACGCGATATCTCACGACAACAAAATTGAATTTGCTCCAGATTTTGCATGTGCATTCATCTTATCTCGGACCAGAAGCCTATCGACTTTGGGCAAATTATGTCGTATAAATAGCGAGGTGTAAATTAATTAGTGATGGGACACAAAGTGTCACTATGGAGTAAGAGCGCTGTTTTGGGGGATCCCCTTACTTTCGATCGTTAAGTCATCGGTCTCTGACCGATATTCTCGTTTATTTCTTAATCAAATTAACACGAACTTCTTCAAGCCTCGCGTCAGTTGATATTTATTAACTCGCATTACCATTATTCTCTATACGTACTGTCAGAATTTTTTGGTATATTAGTAGTCGTCGGTAGCTTCACTTTGAGTTTTCGTGACTTTGAGCAAATTTCCAATTGAAACGTCTCAGTGTTGTGTTCGTTTTATATTATCAGCATTAATTATAGGCTATCACTTACTAAATCGCGATTGCTGTTACTGACATTCATTGTGCCAACCCAATGGTTCAGTGACTGAATTTATTTACGCATGTCTCAAGTCACCCTCAGCTGTGAAAAATGTCAAAAGCGTATACGTGCTATACGTTGGTACTTTTTTGGTATTAAAATTTTCATCATTACTGTACCATTCCTTGTTTACCAAGCGAATCCAATATGACGTCATAATGAACATAAACATTGTTTTAAAGACTTATAATTTGATTGCAGATAAAAACGATACAGGCGATTCCTGCTCGTCTATATGTATGCTGACCAACGTAGAATGTAGATTGTTGATAACGGTGTTTCAATTCATTGATGGAAGAGGAGATTCTGACTACAAATGTTTGCAGAAGAATAATGACATACGTAAGTTTTTGAGACGTACGATATTTTCGACAATAACCCTGTTTAAAGAATCTTCTTATTCACATTAAAAAGCAATCATATATGAACGTTATGTTTTGTTCAAAATCAAATTATTGACTAAAAATACTCATGTCTGTATCTTTCAGATATTGGTATTTTTCCAAATGCATTACTTTCCAATTTGAAGTAGTCCCGAAATCTAGTCACAACATAAGAATTATTTTTGATTGTATTTTCCGTATAGTCAGTAATCTCTCGTCATTTTATGAAATTATATTATACTCCGTAATGAGCTTACTCACTCATTCATCCACACTTGATTACATCGCGAGCGAACACGGTTCTTCTTGTTTTGATAACATTTAAGAATGAGTTAACCTTCTACTTTCCTGGCTTACGTGAATGGAGACCATTGTCAACGTGCCCCATGCCCTGTCCCAGCCAAATCGATTTATTGTCAACTATATTCAGTTTTCAAGCAACTCGACTCAAAGCGATAAAGTGCCCATCTCGCTTTCTGTGCCTCAAAGTTTTGCCGCAATTGAATCCAATTTGAAATCGGTTTAATTCTTTCATAACAATTATTACGATGGTACTTGAAACAAAATCAAGAACATCGACATCTCGAACGAAGCCTACAGAAAACAATGAACAAACTGATTATAACATGCGGATATCCAAACAAATCTTACAGTAGTGTACAGTGGCAATTAAAATTTACAAATATCAGCACATAACTAAATGCATAAAATTATATATACTTTACTTTATTTGAGACTGATTAGATACATACCACATGTTTTAGATCCCCAGGTGACACTATCCAATAAAGTTTAATCCAAAGTGAACTCAATGTAACTTGCATGTCTAAAATATAAAAGCAGCTGTTATTTACTTAGTATAACTATAATACAGCCCTAACCTGCAGTCAAAAATTATATTTTAATTACAATCGGGCATCTCGCATTCAACCCCGATTCTAACTTCAATCCAAATTGGTATTTTTAACTGCAAAATTGAGAATACTAAAACCAATACTAAACATCAGAAACGTCTCGGAAGACTCTAACTAACAATGAACATTAAGCTAGACACTGACAATGCATCCGAGCTGCTTGCTATCAATTTGCTAATTACAGTGATTAATCGAAACACTGTCGAAATACTGCTATGGGACACTGCGTCAGATGATTTTCGTCGACTGCGTAACGTCACAAGATTCAGAACTGAACTGAGTCCTTATAGGGGAGCTCTCGTTCAACATAACTGTGTCTAAATAACAAGTTCAAACTATTACACTTAACGAACTAGTGTAATGAAAGACATCAGTTAGCACAAATTATTTGAATCTTTTATACCGTGACCCTGACAATAATGGGAAAATGCGACATTTGAGGCAAACACCCCGCTTCGGAGAAATATTTAATACAGGTGCATCTACGACTAAACAAGATCGCAACCGACGACTGTGAGCAATTCCTGAACCTGCAAAACGCAGTTGAAAATCGTGTCGTGCGGTGTGTTCAAGTCTTCAGCGATTGCAAAAAATCACTTTCAGCTTTCAGCACTTTATCTGTTCAGTTGACCTACCGACGCACATAAAAGTTTATATCAAGAAACATATTGAAACACTTATACGCTTTAATAATACTATAAATATACTCGTTTCTTGATATATATTGAAGAAAATGTTCGATTCCTATATATTCTATTGCAAATTTTGTTTCATCAATTTTTTAACACGAACGGGGTGCTTTGAACGCGATTTTATACATTTATATGTTTTCAAAAAACGCCAAATGATCTCAAGTATTGAAAAAATGAATCATTTCAAATGCAAGGAGTTTAGAAACGGTCTTATTCTGTCAATAACCTAACAGTAACTTAACCAATACTGGCTATGTGATTTTCAGATTTTTTTCAGTATTTGTTGGCGCGTTGGCCCGTTTTTCAGCTACTAATTTGAAATCATATCTCAGATAAAGTTTAGTAAATGAAAGGTCGGTACATATTCTCATTGGTAAAAAATAAGTTAAAATAAAAAAAAGTTATCCGCGATAGTCCTTTAGCATTTTCGATGCATTTTCTTCATACCGTGTTTCTAATGTTTCGACCTGCTTGCCAGTAATTTTTCGATATTATCGCATATACGGTAGAGATGTACCGATACCACTTTTGTCGCCGATACCGATACCGATCCGATACCAGCTAAAAAAGCCGATACCGATACCGATACTACAAAAAGGCCGATATTACCGATATTCCGATACCGATACTATGTAAATATTACTTAATTAGGTGTGCTGTGTAGGGCAGACGGGTTAAAACAATGGTCTTTGAGCGTTGTTCATAGTACACATTATTTCAGATCGAAAAATGATATATCACATAATATGAAATTAATGTTTGGTGTTTGCTTCAACTGATTAAGATACACTGTACAGTAACGCTAGTAATCTCGGTGTTCAATTAGAAAACTCATAAGCCGGGATGTCCAATTTGAATTTAATGTTAATATCGCGACCTTCGAATATCGTTATTCGTGTTTAAGAGAATATCGAATATCACCCACACATTCTAGAGCCGCCGTCCTACGTTCAAATTAAAAGCATTTTTCAAATATTTTATTTCGTGGCTAATCGTAATCGTCGACGCAATAAGGAAAAGCCAGCATGAAAGAATATCATTCAGCACCGACCAAAAGAAGGCCTACCTATAACCGTCGAGGATGTTTTTTTACTTTACTATTTTATATTATTATACAATTGCTATCATATATTTTGAGACAGTCTAGGACTCTAGGCGCTCTAGGGCTAGGCGGTCATGTCAATATATCTATAAAGAAATTGTGTTGTTAAACAAAATTAATATCTGCGTAGAGGGATAATTGTGTCGGAATTTAGTGTATGGCTCATAGCTCACGATCTCTCCAGACAAAAAATAAAATAAAAAGTAGTATTCCAACTTATCTTTTAAAACATTCTGGACCATATCAAAAAGGTAAATATATCGGAAATATCGGCCTTAATCTACCGATACCGATACATGGCCGATACCGAAAAAATGGCCGATATTGCCGATACCGATACCCGATACCGATACATCGGTACATCTCTAATATACGGCATACGCCTCAACTCTAAAGTGCTTTGATATATTTTCCTATCAACTTTTGTCTCAAGTCGATCTACCTGAAAACTTATTCCCTTCATCCCTTTATAATTCAGGATGGTGACAATAAGTAAAATGAAATTAGTGGTCGTCGTTAGCTTAACTTTGAGATCATCTTTTCAGTAAGTTCTCGTGACTTTGCTTCAAGCAAATTTACAATGAAAACGTGTCAGTGTTATGGTCGTGTTATATTGCCAGCATTATTTATAGGCTATCACTTACTAAATCGCGATTGCTGGATTTGCTGCCATTAACATTGCTTGCGCCAATTTCTTTTCAACCCAATGTTTCAGTGAATAAATATATTTATGCATGTTGTAAGTTATCCACAGCTGTGAAAAATGCCAATAGCGTGAGTCCTAAACGTTGGTACCTTTTGGTATTTAATCTTGCATCATTATTTCATCCATCTTGGTTTCCCATGCCGGTTTACGATTTAGTATGACGTCATAATGTATATAAACACTATTTTAATGAATCTAATTTGACTGTTCGTCTATCTACATTTGCTGACAAGTGTAGAATGTAGAATTGTATAATATGTTGCAGTTGCAGTTGAAACTCTTGCCGTGCAGTGGGCTTAAGTCTGTGGTGGTCTAAACTGCGCGAGATAGAATTTCTCTAATATTACAAATTACATACTATTTTAAAAGATCTGTATAATAGAATTCCTACATAAATTGTTTTACATACGTAAATTTCTGTAGAAATTCTTTTCAACACGTCGAGGAAGTTTCAGTCAAGATATTTAATTTAATTAAATATTATGAGTTGTTCGGTCTTGTTGCAGGTATTTCTCGAGCGTGAGAATCTTTAATCTCACATACATTCAGAAAACACGAGTGCGCTTAAGCTTAAGCCTTTTATGTTTCATTTGTCCACATTGAAATATTAGAAATAGGTTCTTAATGAATAATAATTAGTTAAAACAATGCAGTACATGCTTTATTTTTATTCCAGAGAGTCAGCGATACTAGCAAAAGACCGACTTTCATTAAAGTGTGAAGCATTAGAGAAATATACATAAATTCTTTTAGAAAATTGGAGAAGACAAACCAGATTTAGAGAAGAGAAAAAGATAATAAGACTATTTCAATAAAATGTGAGTTTGCTGTTGTATTTAGGCTATTTTGTAACTATTGAAACGCTAATGAAGTAAACAAGATTTAGATCAAAGATCTTTTGAGGAAGTTCGCGGGACTTTGCTTTGAGCAAATTTACAATGAAAACGTGTCAGTGTTATGGTCGTGTTATATTGCCAGCATTAGTTGTAGGATAGGCTATCACTTACTAAATCGCGATTGCTCTCATTAACATTGTTTGTGCCAAATTCTTTTAACCCAACGTTTCAGTGACTAAATTTATTTACGCATGTTGTAAGTTATCCTCAGCTGTTAAAAATGCCAATAGCGTGGGTCCTAAACGTTGGTAACTTTTGGTATTTAATCTTGCATCATTATTTCATGCCTCTTTGTTTTCCAGGCCGGTTTACGAATTAGTATGACGTCATAATGAATATAAACAATATTTTAATGAATCTAATTTGGCTGTTTGTCTATCTACGTTTGCTGACAAGTGTAGAATGTAGAATTGTATAAAGGTGTTTAAATGCAGTTGAAACTCTTGCCGTGTAGTGGGCTTAAGTCTGTGGTAGTCGAAACAACGCGAGGTAGAGTTTCTCCAATATTACAATCTTTTTTAAAAGATCTGTATAATAGAATTCTTACATAAATTGTTTTACATACGTAAATTTCTGTATAAATACTTTACAACACGTCGAGAAAGTTTCAGTCAAGATATTTATTTTAAACGTCTGTACTTTTTTGATATTTAAACTTTTGTAATCATTTTATCCTTCTTTATTCACCAGCAGACTGGCCATCGGTTCAGAATGACGTCAAAATGAATAGAAACATTATTTATGGATTTATAATGTGATTGTTGATAAAAACCGATACAGACAAATACTTGCCGTTTGCTGACCAATGTGGAGTGTAGAATTGTAAAAAGGTGTTTCATCAATTCATTGATAGAAGAGGAGATTCTGAATACAAAGATTCAGAGAAGCTTAATGAGAGGCGTAAGATTTTGAGATGTAATTTTTTTTTTTTGGATATAACGCTTTTGAGGAACCTTCTGATTCACATATCAACGTAATGTTTTGCTAAAATCCAAATTATTGAATTAATAAAATCACTCATATTTTTCAAAATGCTGTATTTCACAAGTTTGAAGTGCTCCCGAAATCTCGTCACAACACGAGAAATTGATTTGATTTTAATTTTCGTATAGTCGGTAACCTTATCGTCATTTAATAAAATTATTTCACCCCAACTTGAGCTCACGCACTCATTTATCCACTCTGGACTACCTGCGGAGGAACCCAAAGTATAATATACTATGGACTATGGTCAATAGGATAATTCCGGTGAAATGTGAGTTTGGTATTTATTTCAGGCGGATTTGTAACTATTGAAACGCTAATGAAGTAAACTTTTAATTCGTTCTTAGCAACAACAGAAATATTTAATTTTTAGAATCACGGAATACATGCCCATGACTGGCATGGCTTGCATGTATGCATATCAAATGCCATTATTAGGTATATATGTTTATTTTAGACGTATAGAAATTGATAAACGTTTGATTCGAAGTTCATTGATAAACTTTCCTCCGTTGATAGTGTATCTCATTATACCTGAAGTTATGAAGCGGTCTAAACCAGGGGTGTGCAAACTGCGGCCCGCGGAGGAGTGCCAATTTTGAAAGATGTGCCCGCGAAACGAGCTTTTATTTTAATCAATCAGGAACGTGCGAGCAATCAATCTCCTTGCGTCGCGAAGCCTATACCAGAACCCCAGTGTCACTGTCATATCAGTAAAACAAGTTAGCAAGATCATGTTGCAAAATACACAATGTTATAAAAGCGTGTTTCTTTCTTACTGAATTCGTTAAAAGTCGGTGTGGCAATAAACTTGAATAGCAGTCTTCTTTAAAAATTTTTGCGTTTCAACTCAACATTTCTGTCAGGACCACGAACAATGCCGTAAGATCAATAAAAAAAAAAAATTGTGCTTGCAACTACACTAGAAACTCTACCTACGAAAGGCTCTGGATACGAAAAATCCAACTTACAAAAATTCTTTTTGTAAAAATTTTGCTTAAGCTAACAAGATTTTCAACATGCGAAAGGCCGAAAACAAAAAAACACGTGTAGTGACATTT